TTGGATCCAGACTCTCAGGGGTCTTCCAACTTGGCCCTTTTCTGACTGGTGGACTTCAACTCCCAGAATTCCTCAGTCGGCCATTTTGATGAAACTGGGGGCTTGGATCCAAACCAGGAGTCTTCAAACGTCCCTTTTATGACTGGTGAACTTCAACTCCCAGAATTCCTTAGCCAGCGTACCTGGCTGAGGAATTCTGGGAGGTGAAGTCCACCAGTCATAAAAGGGCCAAGTTTGAAGAGCCCTACGTAAAACCCAATTTTTACTCAAATTGCTTGATGTAATGTAATATTTTTGGAAGCAAAGAAGAGCTACATGGCTGCCAGGCGGCATGCTTTAAGAGGGGTGGACTTCAACTCCCAGAATTCCCCTGCCAGCATGCTTTCAGAAAGAGGACGTCAACTCCCAGAATCCCCCAGGCGGCATGCTTTAAGTGGGGTGGACTTCAACTCCCAGAATTCCCCTGCCAGCATGCTTTCAGAAAGAGGACTTCAACTCCCAGAATTGTCCAGCCGGCATGCTTTAAGAGGGGTGGACTTCTACTCCCAGAATCCCCTAGCCGACATGTTTTAAGAGGGATGGACCTCAACTCCCAGAATTCCCCAGCCACCATGCTCTAAGAGGGGAGGACATCAACTCCCAGAATCCCCCAGTTGCAATACTTTACAAGGGGAGGACTTCAACTCCCAGAATTATTAAAAGTCCATCCCTCTTCAAGCATGCTGGTTGGGGAATTCTGGGAGTTGAAGTTCTCCCCTCTTAACCGTCCTAAGCTGGAGAAAGTCTGCCACACAGACCCACAAATAATTAGATTTTTTTTTATCCTACCTACTTTCTTCTATTTCAGCCCTTTCAACATGGTGTGTGTGTGTGTGTGTGTGTGTGTGTGTGTGTGTAGTAGAGAAGAGACTTCTGTCTCCCCCCCCATCCTTAAATCCTTAGAAATGGGTCGGGGGGGGGGGAGGCCTTGGTCTGATGATGGGCCGTTGCAAGCAATCGGACGTGGTAAACAAACCATGGTTCTCCGGAATTGGCAAAATCTGACGCCGGTTGCGTGCCACCCATCAGGCAGCGTTGCCCCCAAGGAGAATTTTGTGGGTTCAAGGAAAGTTCTGCAGTCTGCTTGGGGCATGGTGACATCTATCCTTGACCCACTTTGGGACCTGGACGGGGGGGGGGCGGGGGGGAGACGAGCCGGCAACAAGCCGCCTTGAGCGAAGCCAGCTTTGAACTGTAGATGAACTGTAGGCTGGTCACCGATGCTGGCCAGTTGCCTGGGGCTGCCAAGTGGAGAGAAATATATATATTTTTAAAAAAACATAGATATACTGTAGATATAGATATAAATAGATAAAGGTTTTTTTTTTCCAAACTTAGTTAATCCTGGGTCACGATCAAAAGGCGTTCTGGAATGGTGGACCTTCCAGAATTACAGGTGAACAGGGGTTGGAAGGGTCCTCGGAGGTCATCTAGTCCAACCCCCTGCTCCAGCAGGAGAGCCTTTACAGAGTCACAGAAGGCCAGAGTTGGAAGGGACCCTGGAGGTCATCGAGTCCAACCCCCTCAAGCGGGAGACCCTTTACAGATTAACAGGAGTTGGAAGGGACCCTGGAGGTCATCTAGTTTAACCCCCTCAAGCGGGAGACCCTTTACAGATTAACAGGAGTTGGAAGGGATCCTGGAGGTCATCTAGTACAACCCCCTCATGCAGGAGATCCTTTATAGAACAACAGTTGGAAGGTACCCTTTAGGTCATTTAGTCCAACCCCCTGCTCAAGCAGGATACCCTTACAGAATAAGAGAGCAGGAACAGACCTTGTAGGTCATCTAGTCCAACCCCCTCCTTAAGCAGGAGATCCTTAACAGAATCACAGAAGAACAAGAGTTGGAAGGGATCCTGGAGGTCATCTAGTCCAACCCCCTCATGCAGGAGACCGTTACAGAATACCAGAGTTGGAAGGGACCCTGGAGGTCATCTAGTCCAACCCTCTCAAGCAGGAGACCCTTTACAGATTAACAGGAGTTGGAAGGGATCCTGGAGGTCATCTAGTCCAACCCCCTCATGCAGGAGATCCTTTATAGAACAACAGTTGGAAGGGACCCTGAAGGTCATCTAGTCCAACCCTCAGCTCCATCAAGACACCCTTACAGAATAACAGAAGGACAGAGTTGGAAGGGAGCCTGGAGGTCATCTAGTCCAACCCCCTCGAGCAGGAGACTCTTTACAAAATAACAGTTGGAAGGGACCCTGCAGGTCATCTAGTCCAACCCGCTGCTCGAGTAGGAGACCCTGATAGAATAAAAGAGTTAGAAGGGGCCTTCGAGGTCATCTAGTCCAGCCCCCTGCTCAAGCAGGAGACCCTTACAGAATAAGAGAGCAGGAAGGGACCTTGTAGGTCATCTAGTCCAACCCTCTCCTCAAGCAGGAGATCCTTAGCAGAATCACAGAAGAGCAAGAGTTGGAAGGGATCCTGGAGGTCATCTAGTCCAACCCCCTCATGCAGGAGACCGTTACAGAATACCAGAGTTGGAAGGGACCTTGGAGGTCATCTAGTCCAACCCCCTGCTCAAGCAGGAGACCCTTTTGGGATGACAGAGTTGGGCGGGGCCTTGGAGGTCATCTAGTCCAACCCCTTCCCCCCTTCCTTGGAGGTCACCTAGTCCTGCTCCAGCAGGAGACTTTGGTAAAACAGGGAACAAAAGGGCTTGTGAGCGGTATTTGGGAAACTAATGGTGGTTCTCGGCTTACGACGGTTCGTTTAGTGACCGTCTGAACTTGGCCTGGGACTGACCAAAGGAACTGAGCGCTGTTTTTCACCATCTTTCGCACTTCGGACCCTTGCAGCATCCCCAGGGTCAGGTGATTAAAAATGAGACGCCCGGGCAACCGACTCGTATTTGTGACGGCCGCAGTGTGGGTCACGGGATCCCCTTTGGCGACCGTCTGACGAGCAAAAGTCCAAAGTGGAAACCAGAGTCACTGAACAATCGGGCTGTTTACAAACTGATGAACTGCAGTGTTTCACTTAATGACCGCAGGAAGGTTGTCAAATGGGGTAAAAAAAACTCCCCGAACAACCGTCTCGCTTAGCAACGGAAAGGCTGGGCTCCGTTGTCGTCTTAAGTCGAGGAATGCCTCTGTTTGACCACCTCTTCCTCCTTCCTCTCCTTCCTTCGTCTCCTCCTCTTCCTCCTCCTCCTCTTGGTCTCCTCCTCCATCTCCTTCTCGTTCTCCTCGTCGTCCTTCTCCTCTTTGTAGCCTCTTCTTCTCCTTCTCCTTCTTGTCCTCCTCCTTCTCCTCTTTGTATCCTCCTCTTCTCCTCCTTCTCATCCTTCTTCTCCTCTTCCTCCTCCTCCTCCTTCTTCCCCTCTTCGTATCCTCCTCTTATCCTTCTCTTCGTATCCTCCTCTTCTCCTCCTTCTTCTCCTCTTCGTATCCTCCTCTTCTCCTCCTTCTTCTCCTCTTCGTATCCTCCTCTTCTCCTCCTTCTTCTCCTCTTCATATCCTCCTCTTCTCCTTCTCCTCTTCGTATCCTCCTCTCCTCCTCCTTCTTCTCCTCTTCGTATCCTCCTCTTCTCCTCCTTCTTCTCCTTCGTATCCTCCTCTTCTCCTTCTCATCCTTCTCCTCCTTGTCTCCTCCTCCTTCTTGTCCTCCTTCTCCTCTTCGTCTCCTCCTCTTCCTCCTCCTTCTCATCCTCCTCTTTGTATCCTCCCCTTCTCCTCTTCGTATTCTCTTCTCCACCTCCTTCTCGTCTTCCTCCTTCACTTCTTCGTCTCTTTCTCGTCCTCATCTCCTCATCCTCCTGCTCTTCTTCTCCTTCCTCCACCTTGCTCCATCTCCTCCTCCTCCTCCTTCCTGTTCCTCCTCCTCCTCCTCCTCCTCTCCCTTCGAGCGCTGATGTTGTTCCCTAGTTTGACCTCGAAAGGTCTACAAGTTCAGAGAGCACCAGGCACCCTACAGTCCCCCTCCTCCTCTTTCTCTTCGTCTCCTCCTCTTCTTCTTCCTCCTTGTCTCCTTCTCGTCGTCCTGCTCTTCGTCTCCTTCTCGTTGTCCTCCTCCTCCTCTCCTTTTTCTCCTCTTCCTCCTTCTCCTCCTTCCTGTTCCTCCTCCTCCCTTCTAGCTCTGATGATGTTACCTAGTTGGGTCATGAGACGTCTGCATGAGAAGCACCCAGCTCAGAGAGCATCAAGGACCCCACAGCCTCCTCCTCCTCCTTCTCTTCTTCTTCTTCTTCTCCTCCTCCTCCTTCTCCTCCTTCTTCTCTTCTCCTTTTTCTTCTTCTTCTTCCTTCTTCTTCTTCTTCTCCACCTCCTCCTTCTTCTCTTCTCCTCCTCCTCCTCTTCTTATTCTTATTCTTCTTCTCTTTCTCCTTCTGCTCCTCCCTTTCTTCTTCTTCTTCTCCTCCTCCTCCTCCTCCACCTCCTCCTTCTCCTTCTTCTCTTCTCTTCCTCCTCTTCTTATTCTTATTCTTCTCTTTCTCCTTCTGCTCCTCCTCCTCTTCCTCCTCCTCCTCCTCCTCTTCTTCTTCTTCTTCTTCTTCTTCTTCTTCTTCTTCTTCTTCTTCTTCTTCTTCTTCTTCTTCCCCTCCTCCTCCTCTTCCTCTCCTCTTATAAATATTCTCTCTTCTATCCTTGGGGCAAATGTTTGCTGAACGTGGTTTTCTACATGGAAGCAAACCTTCGACCGGCTCGTCTCTTAAGGCCCGTTCTTACATGCAGGTCACGGAAACGGAAAAGTAGGAGGGGGCAGAGCAGAATAAATATATAAATTCACCCCACCCCACCCCACCCCCCGTAGTCATCCTGGGCTTTGGCTTCCCAGGATGATGGACTCACCTCCCCAGGTCCCGAGAAGCTTCCCAAGCCCACCACAAACACCAACCCGGAAATAAGAGACAAGTTGCGTTGTGGGTCCTTCCAGCCTTCCTCGGGTCTCCGTCGTGCTGCGAAAGGCGACCCTTCTAACCACCTCGTCTCTTGACCTTTTGTGTCGCCAAAGCAGAAGAGGTGAAGGCATCTGCTGAGGTTCCATCAGCAGAAGAGCCAGCTGCCCTTCCCGGAAAGGACCTTCCACCCAGCCCGGACAAGAAGAACAAGGTGAGGTTGCGTCTTGCGTTTCCCGTTTCTGACATGCTTGGGGTTGTGGGTTTTTTTCCCCCCCATCCTGCTTCTTCTAAGCTAACGTTGAAGGTCTGTTCTCTGAGGTGAAGCTTCTGGAGAAGACCCACGCAACCGGTAGAGCAGCGTTCCTCCATCTGGGTAGACCGAATTTGTCTGGACTTCAGCTCCCACCCTGGCTGGGGATTCTTGGGAGCTGAAGTCCATACATCTTCCAGCTGACCCCGGTGGAGAAACCCTGAGGTAGGTTCGTTCACCGCTTTGAGGTGGACATCCATAATTGGTTAGCTTGTAGGTGTCCGGACCATTGACCTAGTCCATATTTGGTCCATCCCTCTTCGCCTCCAGTAAAAGGTGGACAGATCCACCTGCCAGAGTTGAGAATGCCTGCTGTAAGTTCACGATTTTGAGGTGGGCATCCATACCTTCATAGTTTGAAGATGGAAGGACCATGTGTGGATAATTGAAGATGTCCATCCTTCTTCATCTCCATTAAAAGATGGATGGATCCACTGCCAGAGTTGAGAATACCTGCTGTAAGTTCACGATTTTGAGGCGGACATCCATACCTTCATAGTTTGAAGAGGGAAGGACCATGTGTGGACAATTGAAGATGTCCATCCCTCTTCATCTCCATTAAAAGCTGGACGGATCCACCTGGCAGAGTTGAGAATACCTGCTGCAAGTTCATGGCTTTGAGATGGTCATCCATAGCTTGATACTGTACCTTGAAGGCATATGGACCATTGCAGATGTAGGGACCAAGTCCATCTTTGGTCCATCCTTCTTCATCTCCCATTAAAAGATGGGTGGATCAACCTGCCAAAATGGAGGTAACCTGCTCTAAGGCTTTTGAGGTGGACATCCATACCTTTAATGGGTTGAAGGTGTAGGGACCGTTGAAGGTGTAGGGACCATTCAAGTCCAGATTTGGTCCATCCCTCTTCATCTCCATTAAAAGATGGACGGATCCACCTGCCAGAGTTGAGAAAATCTGCTGTAAGTTCATGGCTTGGAGGTGGACATCCATAAGTTGGTAGGTTGAAGGTGTAGGGACCGTTGAAGGTGTATGGACCATTCAAGTCCATATTTGGTCCATCCCTCTTCATCGCCAGTAAAAGATGGACGGACCCACCTGGCAGAGTTGAAGACACCTGCTGGAAGTTCATGGCTTTGAGGTGGACATCCATACCTTGATAGTTTGAAGATGGAAGGACCATGTATGGACAATTGAAGATGTCCATCCCTCTTCATCTCCTTTCAAGATGTATGGACTTAACTGTCAGTGTTAAATACTCCACGGACTCCCCCCCCCTCCTCCTCCTCCTCCTCCTCCTCCTCCTCCTCCTCCTCCTCTTCCCCCTTCTAGCACTGATGATGTTCCCTAGTTGGGTCATGAAACGTCCGCAACTGGAATTGCAGCGATTGGAGTCTTCCTTTTCTCTCTGCCCCTCAATCCTTTTCCAAGGATTATTATTTGGGTCAATCCGACGCTTCTACCTTCCAGCTCAGAGAACAGAGAGTCCCGCCATTATTATTATTATTATTATTATTATTATTATTAATTATTATTATTATTATTATTTCTTTGCCTGAAATTGACTTGAGTTGCGCCCGTTTTTATCTTTTTCGGCCTTCCGTTTACAACGCTCGCTTTTTTCTTTTTCTTTTCTGTCTCGTTTCGTTTTTTTTCTTCTCTCTCTCTCTTTCTCTCTCTCTCTCGTTCTCTTTCTCTTTCCGTGTCGTCTCTTTGTTTTCCGTTGCGCTGGGGTGCATGTTCCCCCCCCCCGTCCAGCCGTCGGCCGCCACCGCCACGGGCGCCAAGCCCGCTCCAGCAAAATCCAAGCCCGGGACGGCCGGAGTCCCCCCCATGAAGCGTCCGGCTTCTGCCACGCTGGGCTCAAACAAAAAGACCACTGCGCCGGGCGGCGGTCCCACGGCGGCGGCGCCCGCTCCGAAACGCCCGTCGTCCGGCCTGGCTCGGCCGTCCAGTTTAACTCCTCGGGAGCTTAAACCCAAGGTAAGGAAAAACTGGGAATTGCGCGGAGGAGAACGTGGGCGGGAGCGGGGAGGAAGACGTCCGGACGGCGGCCCTGGCGCGCCCGAAAGGATTTGGGAGACTCGGCGAAGGGATGCTGCCGAGAAGAAAGGATCGGGTAAAAGAAAAGAGAGAGCCGTGCCCACGGCTGTATAATGGAGAAGGAAAGAAAGATAAAAGTGACCCCCCCTCATTTGGAGATGGGTATAAGGGTAGGTGGGAAAGACCTTGGGGGACTGAGCGAAGGGATGCGGTTTAGGGACCGGTCCGATAAGAGGCCGCAGGGGCCACAGCTGTATAACGGAGCAGGAAAGAAACTCGGAAGATACTCTCCCTAGCCCAGGGCTAGGCCGCCTTGGCTCTTTGATGACTGGTGGACTTCAACTCCCAGAATTCCTGAGCCAGCCTGGCTCAGCTTGGAAACCTCTCCCTTTCCCCTCAGCATGGCTGGCTGAGGAATTCTGGGAGTTGAAGTCCACCAGTCATCAAAGAGCCAAGGTGGCCTACCTCTGGCCTAGGCCGCTTTATGACTCTGTGGACTTCAACTCCCAGAATTCCTGAGCCAGCCTGGCTCAGCTTGGAAACCTCTCCCTTTCCCCTCAGCATGGCTGGCTGAGGGATTCTGGGAGTTGAAGTCCACTAGTCATCAAAGAGCCAAGGTGGCCTACCTCTGGCCTAGGCCGCTTTATGACTCTGTGGACTTCAACTCCCAGAATTCCTGACCCAGCCTGGCTCAGCTTGGAAACCTCTCCCTTTCCCCTCAGCATGGCTGGCTGGGGGATTCTGGGAGTTGAAGTCCGCGAGTCATAAAAGAGCCAAGCTGGCCTACCTCTGGCCTAGGCCTAGGCCGCTTTATGACTGGTGGACTTCAACTCCCAGAATTCCTGAGCCAGCCACACTGAGGGGAAAGGGAGAGGTTGCTGAGCCGGGCTGGCTCAGGAATTCTGGGAGTTGAAGTCCACCAGTCATGAAGGGCCCATACTTCCCCCATGCTGGCTGAGCAATTCTGGGAGTTGAAGTCCACCAGTAATAAAAGAGCCAAGGTGGCCTACCCCTGAGTTACTAGGAAGATGAGGGGACTTCAACTCCCAGAAATCCTGTGCTAGCATGGCACCCTATACCAGGAATAGGCAACCTTGGCTCTTTTATGACTCGTGGACTTCAACTCCCAGAATTCCTCAGCCAGCCTGGCTCAACTTGGAAACCTCTCCCCTTTTCCCCTCAGCGTGGCTGGCTCAGGAATTCTGGGAATTGAAGTCCACGAGTCATAGAAGAGCCAAGCTGGCCTACCTCTAGCCTAGGCCTAGGCCACTTTATGACTTATGGACTTCAACTCCCAGAATTCCTCAGCCAGCCTGGCTCAGCTTGGAAACCTCTCCCCTTTTCCCCTCAGCGTGGCTGGCTCGGGAATTCTGGGCGTTAGTTAATCCTTGGTATGATCAAAAGGCGTTCTGGAATGGTGGACCTTACAGAGTTACAGGTTAACAGGAGTTGGAAGGGACCTCGGAGGTCATCTAGTCCAACCCCCTCAAGCAGGAGACCCTTTACAGAATAACAGAGTTGGAAGGGACGTTGTAGGTCATCTAGTCCAACCCCCCCCCCCCGCTCAAGCAGGAGACCCTTATAGAATCACGGAGTTGGAAGGGACCCTGGAGGTCATCTAGTCCCACCCCCTCAAGCAGGAGACACTTTACAGAATAACAGAAGGCCAGAGTTGGAAGGGGCCTTGGAGGTCATCTAGTCCCACCCCCTCAAGCAGGAGACCCCTTACAGAATAACAGAAGGCCAGAGTTGGAAGGGATCTTGGAGATCATCTAGTCCAGAGGTAGGCAACCATGGATCTGGTGGACTTCAACTCCCAGAATTCCTGAGCCAGCCTGGCTCAGCTTGGAAACCTCTCCCTTTCCCCTCACCATGGCTGGCTCAGGGATTCTGGGAGTTGGTCCACCAGTCATAAAAGAGCCGAGGTGGCCTACCCCTGCCCCAGCCAGCCGGGAATTCTGGGAGTTGAAGTCCACCAGTCATAAAAGAGCCAAGGTGGCTTACTCCTGGCCTAGTTCCTCAGGCTGCAAAGAAAACAGCTCGAATAGGTCTACCTCAGCAGGGGGTGGACTAGAAGACCTCCATGGTCCCTTCCAATGCTCTCATTACTAGGAGGTGGGAAAGACCTTGGGGGAACCGAAGGGACGCTACGTAGGGACCGGTCGGATAAGAAACGGCCGATCCCACAGGTCTATAACGGACGGAGAAAGCAACTCGGAAGATACTCCCCCCTAGCAAAGAAGAGAGCTTGAATAGGTCTCCAGCAGGGGGATGGACTAGCAGACCTCCGGGGTCCCTTCCGGTGCTCTTCTTCTAATCTGCGGGAAAGACCTTGGGGGAAACTGAAGGGATGCTGCGTAGGAGAAAGCAACTCGGAAGCTACTCTCCCGAGCAAAGCTTGAATAGGTCTCCAGCGGAGGGGTGGACTAGAAGATCTCCAGGTTCCCTTCCGGTGCTCTTCTTCTAATCTGTGGGAAATATCTCAGGGGAAATGAAGGGACGTTGCGGAGAAGGGAATGTGTGACTCTGGACAGGGGTGGCCCCGTGGGCCAACCTCACACATGTGCGGGTCCCTTTCTGTTGCGTTGACCGCGTGGCCTTCTGGATCCCTTGCTTGGAGGAACTTCTGGAGAACTTCCTGCCTCTGACGGGATCCCTTCTCCTCCTCCTTCTCCTCCTCCTCTTAGGGGACCGATGGGAAGAGCCCGGATAAGAGGGTCTCCCCTTCCAAGACCCCCTCGGCCACCACCCCTCGGAACGGCGGGAAGACCACCCCGGGGGGCTCCAGGCCTACCGGGGTGGTGGCCACCGTGGGGACGTCGCCCGGGCCGAGGAGCACCACCGCCACCGCTTTGCCCCCCAAGAAGACCTCCGGTGAGTTGTTCCTGGAGGGAGTGCTTGGGAGATTTTGGGGAGGGGGTCTTCCGGGAATGAAGGAGTAGGGGGAGGTGGGTGGGGCGTTGGAGGGCGGAGGAGCTGCCTGGACGGTTGAGGTGGTCTCCGGTTGTCCGTCTTTGTCCCACCTGATTCCGGAATGGATGGAGGGGAAGTTAGGGAGGGTGGACGCCCCCAGCCCGGGGGGGTTCAGGGCATAATGGGGTGGCCGAAGAAGGCCCCTTCCTTCCTTCCTTCCTTCCTTCCTTCCTTCCTTCCTTCCTTCCTTCCTTCCTTCCTTCTCCTCTCTTTTCCCTCCTTCATTCCATGCCTTCCCTCCTTCCTTCCTTACTTCCTTACTTACTTCCATCCTTCCCTCCCTGCTTTCCTCCCTTCCCTTCTTCCCTTTCCTCCCCCCTTCCCTCCCTTTCGTCCATTCTTTCCTTCCTTCCTTTCCTTTATCCCTTCCTTCGATCCTCGTTTCCTTCCTTCCTGTTTCCCTCCTTCCTTCCCTGCCTCCTTGCTTTCCTTTCTGCCTCCCTTCCCTTTATCCCTTCTCTTCCCTCCCTGCTTTCCTTCCTTCCCTTCTCTCCTTCATTTCTTTCATTTTTCCCTCCCTCCTTGCTTTCCTTTCTTCCTCCCCTCCCTTCCATCCTTCTTTCCTTCCTGTTTCCATCCCTCCCTCTCCATTCCAGGCTTTCCTTCTTTTTTCCTTCCTTCTTTCCTTCCTTTCTTCCTTCCTCCCTCCCATCCCTCCCTCTCTTCTCTTCCCTCCCTGCTTCCCTCCATTTCTTCCATTCTTCTCTCTTTCCTTCCCTCCCTCCTTGCTTTCCTTTCTTCCTCCCTCCCTTCCTTCCATCCTTTCCTTCCTTCCTTATCTCCTTGCTTTCCTTTCTCCCTCCCTTCCTCCTTCCTTCCCTCCCTCCTTGCTTTCCTTTCTGTCTCCCTTCCCTTTATCCCTTCTCTTCCCTCCCGGCTTCCTTCCTTCCCTTCTCTCCTTCATTTCTTTCATTTTTCCCTCCCTCCTTGCTTTCCTTTCTTCCTCCCCTCCCTTTATCCCTTCCATCCTTCTTTCCTTCCTGTTTCCATCCCTCGCTTTCCTTCCTTCTCTTTCCCTCCCTCTCTCCCTCCCTTCATTCCAGGCTTTCCTTCCTTCCTTCTTTCCTTCCTCTCTTTCCCTCCCTCTCTCCCTTCATTCCATGCTTCCTTTTTTCTTCCTTTTTTTCCTTCCTTCCATCCCTCCGTCCCTTTCTCTTCCCTTCCTGCTTCCCTTTCCTCTCTCCTTCCCTCCATTTCTTCCATTCTTCCCTTCCCTCCCACCTTGCTTTCCTTTCTTCCTCCCTTCCCTTTATCCCTTCCTTCCAGCCTTTCTTTCCTTCCTGTTTTATCCCTCCCTTCCCTCCATACTTTCCTTCTTTCCCTTTCCGCTCTTTCCCTCCCTCTCTCCATTCCATGCTTTCCTTCCCTCCCTTCCTCCCTCCCTGCTTTCCTTCTCTCCTTCCCTCCATTTCTTCCCTCCCTCCTTGCTTTCTTTTCTTCCTCCCTTCCTTTTATCCCTCTCTTCCCTCCCTCCCTCCCTCCCTTCCTTGTCAGTGATGGTTGAGATATTCTTGACGGGTCCTTGATTAGGCCGTGGTTTGTTTGTCTGAGTTGGTATTTCCTTAATTAGAGTATTGATAGGGCAAGCCACTAGTGCAGGGCTGGGCCACCTTGGCCCTTTTATGGCTCGTGGACTTCAACTCCCAGAATTCCTGAGCCACCCTGGCTCAGCTTGGAAACCTCTCCCTTTCCCCTCAGCATGGCTGGCTCAGGAATTCTGGGAGTTGAAGTCCACGAGTCATAAACTTCAGAGCCAAGCTGGCCTACTTCTGAGCCTAGGCCGCTTTATGACTGGTGGACTTCAACTCCCAGAATTCCTGAGCCAGCATGGCTCAGCTTGGAAACCTCTCCCTTTCCCCTCAACATGGCGGCTCAGGAATTCTGGGAGTTGAAGTCCACGAGTCATAAAAGAGCCAAGCTGCCTACTCTGGCCTAGGCCTAGGCCGCTTTATGACTCGTGGACTTCAACTCCCAGAATTCCTGAGCCAGCATGGCTCAGCTTGGAAACCTCTCCCTTTCCCCTCAGCATGGCTGGCTCAGGAATTCTGGGAGTTGAAGTCCAGCAGTCCTATAATGAAGAATTCCTGAGCCAAGCATGGCTGGCTCAGGAATTCTGGGAGTTGAAGTCCAGCAGTCATAAAAGAGCCAAGGTGGCCTACCTCTGGCCCAGGCCTAGGCCGCTTTATGACTGGTGGACTTCAACTCCCAGAATTCCTGAGCCAGCATGGCCCAGCTTGGAAACTCTCCCTTTCCCCTCAGCAGGGCTGGCTCAGGAATTCTGGGAGTTGAAGTCCACCAGTCATAAAAGAGACAAGGTGGCCTAGCCCTGGCCTAGTGTATAAACAGAGAGCAGACTCGCCTCCCTTTCAGCACTGAGGACGTTCCCTAGTTGGGTCATGAGACGTCTGCAAGAAAGAGCATCAAGGACCCCCACATTTTAACCCTGAGTTCCCAGGAATTCCCTTTTGTCCGTCTCTAAGAGCGCGGCAGAGGGATGCCGGTGAACTAGGCTACTCAGTCCTCCTCGCACGGTCGTCGTTTGGGGGAAAAGAGGAGGAGGAGGTTTTTTGGCGGAGACCATTTTTAGTTCTTTGTAATAAAATAAAAAAATAAAATAGAGTAGACTACAGTAGAATAGAATAGAATAATAAATATAATATAATATAATATAATAATAAAATAAAAGGATAAAATAAAATAAATGAAAAGGATAAAATAAAATAATAAAATGATAAGATAAAATAAAAAGAATAAAATAAAATAATAAAATAAATAAAATAATAAATAAAATATTAAAATAAAATATTAAAATAAAATAAATGAAAAAATAAAATAAATAAAATTAAAATTAAATTAAAAAAATGAAAAAATAAAATAAAATAAATAGAATAGAATAACAAATAAAATAAAATATTAAAATAAAACAAATGAAAAAATAAAATAAATAGAATAGAATAATAAAATAAAATAAATAAAAATAATAAAATAAAATAATAAAATAATAAAATAAATAAAATAAATAAACAAAATAAATAAAAAACAATAAAATAAATAGAATAGAATAGGATAATGAATAAATTAAATAAAAAGAATAAAATAAAATAAAATAAATAAAATAAAACAATAAAATAGAATAGAATAATAAATAAAATAAAATAAAAAATAAAATAAATAGAATAGAATAATAAAATAAAATAAATAAAAATAATAAAATAAAATATTAAAATAAAATAATAAAATAAATAAAATAAAATAAACAAAATAAATAAAAAACAATAAAATAAATAGAATAGGATAGGATAATGAATAAATTAAATAAAAAGAATAAAATAAAATAAAATAAATAAAATAAAACAATAAAATAAAGAATAGAATAGAATAGATAAATTAAAAAAATAAAATAAAAATAGAATCAGTAAAAAAATTATTTTAAAGAAAATAAAGAAAATAATAAAAGAAAATAATAAAATGAAATAAAATAAAATAAAGAAAATAATTAAATTAAATAACAAATAAAATAAATAAAATAAAAAATAAAATAAAACAAAAAATAAAATAAAATAAAAGTCAGGCGGCTAATCCAACTGACCTTTGCCTGCTTCGCCTTGGGCAGCCATCAAGACCGATGTCAAAGCCGCCGATGCAAAGAAGGCCCCGGCAAAGTCACCAACAGGTAATCCCTCTTCTCTAAAGGCCATTCTTTCCCCCCCCTCCCCGCCTTGCGGGACGCAGCTCTCCTCCTCCTCACCCACCTTCTCCCTCACAGCCGATCTGAGCCGTCCCAGGAGCGCCCCGGCCTCCACCACCGCTTCTCCCGCCCCGTCGGGACCCCCGGCCGGCCGGCCGAAGCCGAAACCCGTCGCTGCCAAGCCTCCGGGGACGGCCAGCGTGCCGGCCGAACCCAAGAAGCCCTCCTTGGCGAGCAAGGCCCTTCCCAAAACCAGCCCGGGGGCTTCCAAGCCTCCGCGACCGACCACCAGCGTCTCCGTTCCGGATCTGAAGAACGTCCGGTCCAAGATCGGTTCCACGGATAACATCAAATATCAACCGGGTGGAGGAAAGGTGAGTCCCGTATCTTGACCAGGGTTGGTCCAAACAGACGGAGGGGAAAGTCCTCCTCAAACCCACCCACCCCTCCCGGGAACCTAACCGAGATTCCACCATCCTGTTTCGGAAGCGCGGAGGACCCAGGAGGACTAGTTACTTGGTCCCGTGGAGAGAGAAGGACCTCTCCTGGGTATGGTTGGCTCACCGGAAGGAAACGGGCCCTTGCGGGTGAGATACTAGCACGTCGAGGAGAAGAACCGCAACTCCCGGGCGCCTAGTATCTGGGATGTCAACTCCTATTCCTCCTCTCCATAACTCCCCCCCCCCCACTTCCTTCTAGCCCTGATCGTGTTCTCTAGTTGGGTCACGAAACGTCTGCAAGGAAGCCATCCAGTTCAGGGTCCCTTCTTTCGTCCCTCCCTCCCTCCCTTCCTTCCTTCCTCTCCTTTCCTCCTCCTCCTTCCTTCTTTCCTTCCTCCTCCTCCTTCTTCTCCTCCCTTCTAGCCCTGATGATGTTCCTTAGTTGGGTCACAAAATGTCTGCAAGGAAAGCACCCAGCTCAGAGTCCTCCCTCCCTCCCTCCCTCCCTCCCTCCCTTCCTTCCTTCCTTCCTCTCCCTTCCTTCCTCCTCCTCCTCCTCCTCATTCTCTCCAAACTCCCCACTTCCTTCTAGCCCTGAAGATGTTCCCTAGTTGGGTCACGAAACGTCTGCAAGGAGACCACCCACTCAGGGTCCTTCCTTCCTCCTCTTTCTCCTCTTCCCTTCTAGCCCTGATGAGATTCCTTAGTTGGGTCACAAAATGTCTGCAAGGAAAGCACCCAGTTCAGAGTGCTCCCTCCCTCCCTCCCTTCCTTCCTTCCTTCCTTCCTTCCTCCTTCTTCTCCCCCCTTCTAGCACTGATGATGTTCCTTAGTTGGGTCACAAAATGTCTGCAAGGGAAGCACCCAGTTCAGAGTCCTCCCTCCCTCCCTTCCTTCCTTCCTTCCTTTCTCTCTTCCTCCCTCCCTTCTTATTCCTTTCTCCCTCCCTTCCTCCTTATTCCAATCTCCTTCCTTCCTTCCTTCCTTCCTCCTCCTCCTCCCTTCTAGCACTGATGATGTTCCTTAGTTGGGTCACAAAATGTCTGCAAGGGAAGCACCCAGTTCAGAGTCCTCCCTCCCTCCCTCCCTTCCTTCCTTCCTTCCTTTCTCTCTTCCTCCCTCCCTTCTTATTCCTTTCTCCCTCCCTTCCTCCTTATTCCAATCTCCTTCCTTCCTTCCTTCCTTCCTTCCTTCCTTCCTTCCTTCCTTCCTTCCTTCCTTCCTTCCTTCCTTCCTTCCTTCTTCTTCTCCTCCCTTCTAGCACTGATGATGTTCCTTAGTTGGGTCACAAAATGTCTGCAAGGAAAGCACCCAGCTCAGAGTCCTCCCTCCCTCCCTCCCTTCCCTTCCTTTCTCTCTTCCTCCCTCCCTTCCTCCTTATTCCAATCTCCTTCCTTCCTTCCTTCCTTCCTTCCTTCCTTCCTTCCTTCCTTCCTTCCTTCCTTCCTTCCTTCCTTCCTTCCTTCTTCTTCTCCTCCCTTCTAGCACTGATGATGTTCCTTAGTTGGGTCACAAAATGTCTGCAAGGAAAGCACCCAGCTCAGAGTCCTCCCTCCCCCTCCCTCCCTCCCTCCCTCCCTCCCTCCCTCCCTCCCTTCCTTCCTTCCTTCCTTCCTCCCTCCCTACCTCCCTACCTCTCTACTTAAAATCCCCACTTCCTTCTATCACTGATGATGTCCTCTAGTTGGGTCACAAAATGTTTGCAAGGAAACCACCACCTCCTCCTCCTCCCCCCCAATCCCACTTCTTGACAGCACCGATGACATAAATCTAGTTGGGTCCTGAAACGTCTGTGAGGAAATCCGCCATTTTGGAGACGGTTGGAATCCCGGCCCACTAAAACCCTTTTTCAATCTCAGCCCCTTCAGAGTGTCTGGACTTCAACTCCCAGAATCCCCAGCAGTTTGGATGAAGAGCTAAGAATGTGGGTTCTCTCCCCCCCCCAAGTAGGCCACCTTGGCTCTGTTATGACTCGTGGACTTCAACTCCCAGAATTCCTTAGCCAGTAGTGCTCAGCTTGGAAACCTCTCCCTTTCTCCTCAGCATGGCTGGCTCAGGAATTCTGGGAGTTGAAGTCCATGAGTCATGAAGGGGCCATAGTTCCCCCATGTTGGCTCAGGAATTCTGGGAGTTGAAGTCCACGAGTCATGAAGGGGGCCATAGTTCCCCCATGTTGGCTCAGGAATTCTGGGAGTTGAAGTCCATGGGTCATAAAGCGGCCTAGGCCAGAGGTAGGCAACCTTGGCTCTTTTATGACTGGTGGACTTCAGCTCCCAGAATTCCTGAGCCAGCATAGGGAATTATGGCCCCTTCATGACTCGTGGACTTCAACTCCCAGAATTCCTGAGCTAGCCTGGCTCAGCTTGGAAACCTCTCCCTTTCCCCTCAGCATGGCTGGCTCAGGAATTCTGGGAGTTGAAGTCCACCAGTCATAAAAGAGCCAAGGTGGCCTGTTCCTGATACAGGGTGCCATGCTGGCAGAGGAATTCTGGGAGTTGAAGTCCCCTCATCTTCCTAGTAACTCAGGGCTAGGCCAGCTTGGCTCTTTTATGACTGGTGGACTTCAACTCCCAGAATTCCTGAGCCAGCGTGGCTCAGCTTGAAAACCTCTCCCTTTCCCCTCAGCATGGCTGGCTCAGGAATTCTGGGAGTTGAAGTCCACAGTCATAAAAGAGCCAAGGTGGCCTAGCCCTGCACTAGCCCAACGAAACCAACATAGTAACTAACGAGCAACGCTAAACCATCCCAAACTTTGACCAAGGGGTTCCTCCTCCTTCCCCTTCGTTCACACCCAAGTTTCGCTCTGACCGTGTCCAAGTCAGTTTCCTCCAGATTGACGCGAGAAAACAAAAAAAAACCAGGCTATTCATCGACTTAAACGAACGGCAAGCGAGCCCAACTTTTTCTGTCGCTGAGCGAGGCGTTTGTTACGCAGGTGTTGCCCTGTTTTACGACCTCTGTTGCCACCGTTGTTCAGCGAATCCCTGCAGTTGTTTAGTCACACGGTCGTTAAGCGAATCCCGGCTTCCCCTATTGACTTTGCTGGTCCGAAGGTCGCCAAAGGGGATCGCCTGACCCCAGGACATGACGACAGTCTGAATTTTGATCACATGTCGACAGTCGTGTGTCTCCAGGTCGTTGTAACGTTGTAAATTGAGGACCCACGAGGTTGATCTAGATGATCTCCAAGGTCCCTTCCAACTTTATTGTTGTTGTTGTTGTTATAAAAACCTCCACCCTCCCGAAGTCCTCAATTTACAATCGTTCCTTTAGCAACCAAAGTTCAAACAGCCAGTCCTCACACTTACGACCCTCACAGCATCATCAGGGATCAGGTGATCAATATTTGGGCACGACGGTTTCCAGTTTCAACCTTTGGCCAAGCAACGTCACTGTGGTGTGTGTGTGTGTGTGTGTGTGTGTGTGTGTGTGTGTGTGTGTGCTGGATTCACTTAACGACTGCTTGATTCGCTTAATGACCATAGGGGATTTACGTCAAAACCCGGCCCTGAGGTGCTAAAAATGGGACTTCTTTCATAACTGTCTCGCTTAGCGACCGAAATGGGGGTTCCTCTTTTGGGCGTAAGTCGAGGACGAGAGGGTTTTTTTGTTTTTGTTTTTTGCACTTCTGATGATCTGAAACCGCCTCCCTTTATCTCCCGTTTTTAGGCCAAAGTAGAGAAAAAAGGCGAGTCCGCCCTGGCTGCCCGAAAACTCGAACTCGGTACCGTGTCCAAAGCCCCTACCAATAAATCCACGGTTTCCAAAGAGAGTCTGGCAAAGTCACCCAATGGGAAAGTGAGTCCTGTTTTCGACTTTTGACGCTTGGGAGGGGTGAGGACACCACCTCCTCCCCTCCCGGATCTTCTTTGACAGGGGGTCCTCAACTTACGACCGTTCCACTTAGCGACTGCTTGACGTTACAACGGCACAGGGGAAAAAAAGATTGTGTTTTTTTTTCCACTTAGCAAACCCTCCCCCCCCACCCCAGTCCCGGTGATCCCAGTCCAGACACTTGTCAACCGACTCAGATTTACGACGGATGTATTGTCCTGGTGATTTGAATCCCGACGCTTGGTAACCGACTCAGATTTACGACAGTCGCAGCATCCCAGTAATGCAAATCTCGACACTTTGCAACCAACTCAGATTTACGACGGTCGCAGCATCCCAGTGATTTGAATCCCGACACTTGGCAACCGATTCAGATTTACGACGATCGCAGCGTCCCAGTGATTTGAATCCTGACGCTTTGCAACCGACTTAGATTTATGACGGTTGTAGCATCCTGGTGATCCGAATCCCGGCACTCAGCAACCTACTCAGATTTATGACGGTTGCAGCGCCCCAGTGATTTGAATCCCGACGCTTAGCAACTGACTCAGATTTATGACGGTCGCAGCGTCCCAGTGATTTGAATCCTGACGCTTTGCAACCGACTTAGATTTATGACGGTTGTAGCATCCTGGTGATCCGAATCCCGGCACTCAGCAACCGACTCAGATTTATGACGGTCGCAGCGTCCCAGTGATTTGAATCCCGACGCTTTGCAACTGACTCAGATTTATGACGGTCACAGCACCCCAGTGATTTGAATCCCAACGCTTTGCAACCGACTCAGATTTATGACGGTTGTAGCGTCCCGGTGATCCGAATCCCGGCACTCAGCAACCGACTCAGATTTATGACGGTCGCAGCATCCCAGTGATTTGAATCCCGACGCTTTGCAACCGACTCAGATTTATGACGGTTGTAGCGTCCCCGGCCTGTGTGTGTTTGTGTATGTCCCATGATCCCCTTTGCAACTTTGTGACCCGGTGTTCACTTTTTCATCACCGGGCGACTCATGGAACCACCAAAGCGGTTCGTTTAACAACGGTGGTAAGAAAGGTCGTAAAATGCCCCCCCCAAAAAATAATCCCTTCGCCCGTGTGTCCCGGGTTGATGTAGCCGATGGCAGGCCAGCTCGTGAAGTGGGGCCAAACTCACTTGACATGCGTCTCGCTTAGTGACGAGAATCGTGGTCGTAAGTCGAGGACTTCCTGTTTATAATTTTTTTTTTTCCTTCCCTTCTTACTTTTCTCCTTTGGGTCACTTTCTCTTCTCTCTGAATTCATTGCCCTTCGGGGTCTTTTTTTCTTCGGGACCCTTCTGCTTTTTTGCACGCCATTTTCTCTTTCTGTGTCTCGACGCGCCTTTGGAAGGGAACCGTGGGTTTTGGAGTAGCGAAGGAGGCGAAGGGGAGGGGGGTTATTTTGGGGAGGGGGTAAGCAGAAACCCCCTCCCTCCATCACGATGCTTAATTGATCGCCGATGGATGAATTGCAAAGGGAGAAAACAAAACAAAACATGGATTATGAATCCAGGGTCTCTCAAGATGGCGGAAGGTGGGAGGGACTTCAACTCCCAGAATTCCCTATTCAGGAAGCCGGGATTTCATTGGAGGAGAATCGGAGGACGGCAAGCATTTCACCCCCCCTGGGTCTTAATGCTTGTCGGATTCAAAAAGCAGGAAAGGTAAATAGACAGTGTTGAGCAGGCGTCAAGTCCGGCTTTTCCAAGAAGATCCCTTTTTATTATTATTATTATTGTTATAATGATTCTTTTGTAGCTGGACAGAAATCCAGGGATCCACCCGAATCGAGAGTCCCGATTCCCAAGGATTCCCCTCCCTGAGAAGGGGGAGAGTGGGGGCTTTGCAGGACCTGACGGCTTTCGGGTTTTCCTTGGCTGAATCCGGGGCTCTTTCCTTCCTTCCTCTGTCTCCTCCTCCTTCCTTTTCCTTTTTTTCCCCCCTCTTTCTTTCCTTCCTCTGTCTCCTTCTGCTGCTTCTCCTCGTTTCCTTTGCTGAGTTCGTTTTTTTTCTCTTCTCTTCCTCCTCCTGCCCTTCGCTGAGTCGACGGCGCCTTCATTTTTTTCTCTTCTCTTCCTTCCCCTGTCTCCTCCTCCTCTTCCTCTTCCCCATCTCCGTCTGGTCATCCCTAACCTCCGGATTCGTTCGGAGGGAGTTGCTAACCGCCTGCTTGTGCTCTGTCCATCTGTCCCTCCCTCTGTCTGAGAGAAGAGAGAGAGAGGGAGAGAGAGTGATAGAGAGAGAAGAGAGAATGAGAGAGAGTGGAGAGAAGAGACAGAGGGGAGAGAGAGAAAAGAGGAGAGTGAGAAGAGAGTGAGAGAGGAAAAGAGGGGATGAGAGAATGAGAGAGTGGAGAGAAGAGAGAGTGAGAGGGGAGAGAAGAGACAGGGGAGAGAGGAAAAAAGCAGAGTAAGAAGAGAGAGAGAGGAAAAGAGAAGAGGGGATGAGAGAATGAGAGAGTGGAGAGAAGAGAGAGAGGGGAGAGAAAAGAGGAGAGTAAGAAGAGAGAGGAAAAGAAGAAGGGATGAGAGAAAGAGAATGAGAGAGTGGAGAGAAGAGACAGGGGAGAGAGAAAAGAGAGGAGAGTAAGAAGAGAGGAAAAGAGAAGAGGGGATGAGAGAATGAGAGAGAAGAGAGAAAGAGAGAGAGGAGAGAGAGTGAGAGCAGAGAGAAAAGAGGAGAGTAAGAGGAAAAGAAGAGGGGATGAGAGAAAGAGAGAAGAGAGAATGAGAGTGGAGAGAAGAGAGTGAGAGTGGAGAGAGAAAAGAGGAGAGTAAGAAGAGAGGAAAAGAGAAGAGGGGATGAGAGAATGAGAGAGGGGAGAGAGAAAAGAGGAGAGTAAGGAAAAGAGAAGAGGGGATGAGAGAATGAGAGAGGGGAGAGAGAAAAGAGAGGAGGGTAAGAAGTGAGTGAGAGGAAAAAAGAGAAGAGGGGATGAGAGAATGAGAGAGAGAATGAGAGAGTGGAGAGAAGAGAGTGAGAGGGGAGAGAAAAGAGGAGAGTAAGAAGAGGAAAAGAAGAGGGGATGAGAGAAAGAGAATGAGAGAGTGGAGAGAAGAGACGGGAGAGAGAAAAGAGAGGAGAGTAAGAAGAGAGGAAAAGAGAAGAGGGGATGAGAGAATGAGAGAGAAGAGAGAATGAGAGAGAGAGGAGAGAGAGTGAGAGAGCAGAGAGAAAAGAGGAGAGTAAGAGGGAAAGAGAAGAGGGGATGAGAGAAAGAGAATGAGAGTGGAGAGAAGAGAGTGAGAGTGGAGAGAGAAAAGAGGAGAGTAAGAAGAGTGAGAGGAAAAGAGAAGAGGGGATGAGAGAATGAGAGAGAGGAGAGAGTGAGAGGGGAGAGAGAAAAGAGGAGAGTAAGAAGAAAGTGAGAGAGGAAAAAAGAGTAAGAAGAGAGAGAGAGGAAAAGAGAAGAGGGGATGGGAGAAAGAGAGAATGAGAGAGTGGAGAGAAGAGAGTGAGAGGGAAGAGAAAAGAGGAGAGTAAGAAGAGAGGAAAAGAGAAGAGGGGATGAGAGAAAGAATGAGAGAGTGGAGAGAAGAGACGGGAGAGAGAAAAGAGAGGAGAGTAAGAAGAGAGGAAAAGAGAAGAGGGGATGAGAGAATGAGAGAGAGAGGAGAGAGAGTGAGAGAGCAGAGAGAAAAGAGGAGAGTAAGAGGAAAAGAGAGGAGGGGATGAGAAAGAGAGAAGAGAGAATGAGAGAGTGGAGAGAAGAGAGTGAGAGTGAGAGTGGAGAGAGAAAAGAGGAGAGTAAGAAGAGTGAGAGGAAAAGAGAAGAGGGGATGAGAGAATGAGAGAGAGAGGAGAGAGAGAGTGAGAGGGGAGAGAGAAAAGAGGGTAAGAAGTGAGTGAGAGGAAAAAAGAGAAGAGGGGATGAGAGAATGAGAGAGAGAGGAGAGAGAGAGTGAGAGGGGAGAGAGAAAAGAGGGTAAGAAGTGAGTGAGAGGAAAAAAGAGAAGAGGGGATGAGAGAATGAGAGAGGAGAATAAGAGTGGAGAGAAGAGAGTGAGGGGAGAGAAAAGAGGAGAGTAAGAAGAGAGACAGGAAAAGAGGGGATAGAGAGAGTGGAGAGAGAGAAAAGAGAAAGAAGAGAGAGGAAAAGAGAAGAGGGGATGAGAGAGAAGAGAATGAGAGAGAGGAGAAAGGAAAAAAGAGATAAAAAAGAAGAGAGAAGGGAGAGGGAGAGAAAGGAGAAAGAAAAAGAAAGATAAAAAAGAGAAGAAAAAGGGGAGAGGAGAGAAGAGGGAGAGAAAGATAAAAAGAAGCGAGGGAGAGAAGGGAGAGGGAGAGAAGAGAGGAGATAGGGAGAGAGAAGGAAGGAGAAAGAGAGAGAGAAGAAAGGGAGAGAGAAGAGAAGAGGAGAAAGTGAAAAAAAGAATGAGAAAGAGATAAAGAACAGAAGAGAGAAAGGAGAGAAGAGAAGAAAGAGGGAGAGAAGAGAGAGAGAAAGAGAAGGGAGAGAGAGAAAGATAAAAAGAGAAGAGGGGGGAGAGAGGAAGAGAAGAGGAGATAGGGAGAGAGGAGAGAAGGAAGAGAGGAGAAAGAAAAAAGAATGAGAAAGATAAAAAAGAAAGGGGAGAGAGAAGAGGAAGAGGAGAGGAGAGAAAGAAGGGAGAGAGAAAGATAAAAAAGAAGAGGGGAGAGAGAAGAGAGGAGAAAGGGAGAGAAAGATAAAAGGGGGAGAGAGAAGAGAGTGGGAGAGAGGAGAGAAAGAGATAAAAATAGAGAGGGGAGAGAGAGAAGCGAGAGAGAGGGAGAGAAAGAAGGGAGAGAAGAGAGAAAAGAGAAGAAAGGGAGAATGGGAGAGAAGAGAAGAGCATGAGATAGGAGAGAGAGAAAGATAAAAAATAGAGGGGAGAGAGGGGGAGAGAGATAAGAGGGAGAGAGGAGAAAGGGAGAGAGAGAGAGAGAGAGAAGAGAGTGGGGGAGAGAGAGAGAGAGAGAGAAGAGAGTGGGAGAGAGAGAGAGAGTGGGGGAGAGAGAGAGAGAGAGAGAGAGAGAGAGAAGAGAGTGGGGGAGAGAGAGAGAGAGAGAAAACCTAACCGGTCCTCTTCCCTTTTTGTGTCCATCTCTCCGTCTCTGTTTGACGCTCCAGGTCCAGATCCTCTCCAAAAAAGTCAACTACAGCCACGTCCAGTCCAAATGTGGGTCCAAGGACAATATTAAGCATATCCCTGGAGGAGGGAATGTAAGTATCCCGAAGGACCTGTGGGCCGTTCTCTTCCCACTAACAACTCCAACTCCTCCTCCTCCTCCTCCTCTTCCATGTGCTCATTCTCACTCTGGAGTTGTCAGTCCCCTTGTGTGTGTGTATATCTCTGTTTGTGCGTGTTTCTCTAGGGGGGGGGGAGAAAGGGAGAGGTGGATCATTGCCCCCCCCCCAGCATCTCATGGGGAAGGAAACCCCACTTTTGGAATTGGAAAAGGGGAAGGGAAGGGATCCGGGTCAGGGGCAAGAGGAAAACTCTGTGGGTGGGGGTTTTTCTAATTTTTGGGGTTTTTTTTTTTTTCTTTTTTAACCGGTTGAGGCAGGCTGGGAATTTGGTCCTAGGTAGATAGAGGGAGAGAGATATTTCGATGGATGGATGGATGGATGGAAAGAAGGAAGGAAGGAAGATAGGTGGGTGGGTGGAGATAGATAGATAGGTAGGTAGGTAGGTGGGTGGGTGTATGGATAGATGGATAGATAGTAGGTAGAGAGAGATAATGATGGATGGGTTAAATAGATGATAGAGTGAATAGATAGATATAGATAGATAGCCAGATAGATAGACACAGACAGACAGACGATAGACAGACAGACTAAATAGATCAGACAGACATAGATAGACAGACAGACAGACGGTAGACATATAGATAGACAGACTAGATAGATCAGACAGACATAGGTAGACAGACAGACGATAGATACAGACAGACAGACTAGATAGATAAACAGACACAGATAGATAGATAGACAGACAGACGATAGACAGAAAGACAGACACATGATATACAGACAGACCAGATAGATAGATAGACAGACAGACGATAGATATAGAGACCAGATAGATAGATAGACAGACAGACGATAGATGATAGATAGAAAGACAGACAGATGATACACAGACTAGACAGACAGAAGACAGACAGAAAGACAGACAGACAGACAGACAGACAGACAGACAGACAGATAGATAGATAGATAGATAGATAGATAGATAGATAGATAGATAGATAGATAGATAGATAGATAATACAAGGATGGATGGGACACATAGATTAGAGAGATGACGGTGGAAGATAGGTCAGTGGTTCTCAACCTTTTTAATGCCGCGACCCCCAACCGGTCGTAAGTCGAGGACTACTCAACCGGTCGTAAGTCGAGGACTACTCAACTGGTGCAGCACCGTTTGCAGAATGGGACTTTTGGCGGGCTCAGCAGGGCAGAGACAGCCTGGACAATTCCTATGGGCTTTGGAAAGCCCATAGAATTAGACTCTATTCAAGAGAGTCCCTTCTATTGGCTTTCAAAAGCCAATAGAATAAAAGGGAGTAGCACAGCTAAGGAAAGGGGGGGGGGAATGGCGGACTGCGTTGTTTGGCGACCCCCATGAAATGGTCGTTTGACCCCAAATGGGGTCCCGACCCACAGGTGGAGAACCACTGGTATAGATGGACCGCCGGACAGTCGATGGATAGAGATTGAGGGTAGATACATAGTTAGATGATAGGTTAGATATAGAGAGAGACAGATAGATAAGATGGATGTATGATGGAGGATAGAAAGGATGGGGGATAGGTGGATAGAGGGATGGATGAATAGATGAGATGATGGATGGATGGATGATAAATAGATATATAGATGATAGAGTGATGGTTAGATGATAGATGGATCTATCTATCTCTCTATCATATCTATCTATCCATCCATCCATCTATCTATCTACCTGAGGCTTGGCCTACCTCAAAGGGGAGCGAATAGCCGGAATCTGCCCGCCAAAGATCACCTTGTGGTCTCTTTTCCTTCAGGTCACCTAACCTAGGGAATGTGGCTGTTTTTCTCTTTTCGGCATCGGGAGAACGCAGAGGGCGAACGTGGCCTAAATTCTCGTTCAACGTGGCCGTTTTTAAGACGTGTCGACGTGGCTGGCTAGGAAATGCTGGGAGTTGAAGTCCGCACGTCTTTCAGGTGGCCACGTTTGAAAAAAATATATAGTTTGGGGTTGTTGTTTTTTTTTTCCAATATTGGCTTGATGTGAGCTTGATAATGTGAGCTACGATGGGATTCTCTCTGATGATCTGGGCACGAAGCTGAACCTTCCCTGGAACCTGCTTTTTAACCACCATTCCGGGGCTTGTCAGCCGCTAACCGACATCTCTGTCGAAATGGATCTTCTCGCTCTTTTCGACCACCGGATTTTGCTGATTTTGCTCTCCTTTTTTGTTCCTTTTTCCTTCCTTTGCTCTCTAGGTCCTCTTCCCTCTCTCCGAAAAATAACAACTCATAATTGCCGGGCGGGAATCATAACTCTCACCTCCAGATTTATTGTGCGAATCGTCTTTGTTTCATTGTCTCGTTCTAGAGCGGTCTCTCCAAGGAGCTCCTGTGATCTTCTTCCTTTTTTCTTCTTCTTCTCCACCCGCTGTCCTTCCTTCCTTCCTTCCTTCCTTTCTTCTCTGTCGTCCACCAATCAGTCTCTCCAGCTATTCAGGTCACAGAGTAAAGTATCTATTGTTTTCAGGTCCAAAATGTCCCCAAGCCAGCTTCAGGCAACAAATCCCAGCCAAGGACCACCCCTAAGCCCAGCCCGGGCTGTACCAATGTGAGTAGAACATGAGATTTGGCCAAGTGACTTGATGTTCTGGAGTGTCCACCTTCTTCCAGGTCCATAGGACGTTCTTGGTCAAGGGAATTTTGATGTTCTGGAGTGTCCACCTTCTTCCAGGTCCATAGGACGTTCTTGGTCAAGGGAATTTTGATGTTATGGAGTGTCCACCTTCTTCCAGGTCCATAGGACGTTCTTGGTCAAGGGACTTTTGATGTTATGGAGTGTCCACCTTCCAAGTTCATAGGACGTTCTTGGTCAATTGACTTTTGATATGATGGAGTGTCCACCTTCTTCTAGTGTCATAGAACATCCTTGGTCAAATGACGTTTGATGTTCTGGAGTGTCCACCTTCTTCCAGGTTCGTAGGATGTTCTTGGTCAAATGACGTTTGATGTTATGGAGTGTCCACCTTCCAGGTTCGTAGGACGTTCTTGGTCAAGGGACTTTGGATGTTATGGAGTGTCCACCTTCTTCCAGGTCCATAGGATGTTCTTGGCCAAGGGACTTTTGATGTTATGGAGTGTCCACCTTCTTCCAAGTTCATAGGATGTTCTTGGTCAAAGGTCTTTTGATGTTATGGAGTGTCCACCTTCTTCATAGGATGTTATTAGTCAAATGACTTTTGATGTTATGGAGTGTCCACCTTCTTCCAAGTTCATAGAACGTTCTTGGTCAAGGGTCTTTTGATGTTATGGAGTGTCCACCTTCTTCTAGTGTCATAGAACATCCTTGGTCAAATGACTTTCGATGTTCTGGAGTGTCCACTTTCTTCCAAGTTCATAGGAAGTTCTTGGTCAAGGGACTTTTGATGTTATGGGGTTTCTACCTTCTTCTAGTGTCATAGAACATCCTTGGTCAAATGGCCTTTTTTGAATGTCCACCTTCTTCCAGGTTCATAGGACGTCCTTGGCCATGTGACTTTGGATGTTATGGAGTCCCACCTTCTTCCAAGTTCATAGGACGTTTTTGGTCAAGGGACTTTGGATGTTATGGAGTGTCCACCTTCTTCCAGGTTCATAGGATGTTCTTGCCCAAGGCACTTTTGATGTTATGGAGTGTCCACCTTCTTCCAAGTTCATAGAACGTTCTTGGTCAAGGGTCTTTTGATGTTATGGAGTGTCCACCTTCTTCTAGTGTCATAGAACATCCTTGGTCAAATGACTTTCGATGTTCTGGAGTGTCCACTTTCTTCCAAGTTCATAGGAAGTTCTTGGTCAAGGGACTTTTGATGTTATGGGGTTTCTACCTTCTTCTAGTGTCATAGAACATCCTTGGTCAAATGGCCTTTTTTGAATGTCCACCTTCTTCCAGGTTCATAGGACGTCCTTGGCCATGTGACTTTGGATGTTATGGAGTCCCACCTTCTTCCAAGTTCATAGGACGTTTTTGGTCAAGGGACTTTGGATGTTATGGAGTGTCCACCTTCTTCCAGGTTCATAGGATGTTCTTGCCCAAGGCACTTTTGATGTTATGGAGTGTCCACCTTCTTCCAAGTTCATAGAACGTTCTTGGTCAAGGGTCTTTTGATGTTATGGAGTGTCCACCTTCTTCTAGTGTCATAGAACATCCTTGGTCAAATGACTTTCGATGTTCTGGAGTGTCCACTTTCTTCCAAGTTCATAGGAAGTTCTTGGTCAAGGGACTTTTGATGTTATGGGGTTTCTGCCTTCTTCTAATGCAGTGGTTCTCAACCTGTGGGTCGGGACCCCATTTGGGGTCGAACGACCATTTCACGGGGGTCGCCAAACAAGGCTGACCGCCATTTTTTCCCCCTTTTCTTTGGCCACACCCCTGGCACCCGGTGATGTATAAGTGGTTGGGGGAACTATATTATGGGGTCACGGCATTAGAAAGGTTGAGAACCACTGTTCTAATGTCATAGGACATCCTTGGTCAAATGAATAGGAGAGAAAGGACAACAGATTAGGAATAGGAATAGAATAGAATAACAGAGTTGGAAGGGACCTCCGTGGTCTTCTAGTCCAACCCCCTGCCCAGGCAGGAAACCTTAAGTTCTTTCTAGCTTTAGCTCTTGTTTTCATTGGGGTTGGGTTTTTTTTGGTCCTGCCACGAGACTTCACCAATCCTAAATAAAGATTTTAATTGCAGCCGGGATTGTGTTAACCCAGGTGTCTCCTTTTTTTTCCTGGTGGTCCCTGAGGGAGCTTTAAACATCTGGAGAAGATTGGAGAAGTCTTGATGCCCAAGCAGAGGTTGTCCAAGGCTTCCTAGGGGCGGGAATCTTGTAGAATTCACCCCTTTCCCCCCCCCCAGTCTTATAAACTCTCGGAACCCTCAGAGGTCATCAGTCTGGTCTTTTTCCTCTTCTCTGACTTGGTCTCCTCCTCCTCCCTCTTTCTTCACATCCCACCTCACCCCCATTTTGGAATAAGTTATGCCACCTCTGAGATTTTTGAACAGTGCTGATATTTCTAAACCGTTGGGCAAAGATTGACGTCGTTGGGATGGGTGAAGGCTAGCCAAGTTCCCTTCGCTTCGGACCCGTCTTCTCCGGATCAGCTCCCAACTCTTGCTTTGATGGGGGGGGGTCTGCTCACATTTGATGGACTCTTTGGAGAGGTCCCCCCCAGCCCACCCCAGTCTCTGTGCAGCAGGAGACCCCCGATGTCTCTTCCCACGTTCCCAGAAGCTTGGACCCTGGTGGGAACGCTCTGGAAACCTCTGGAGAACCTCTGGAAGGGCCTGGCCTTGCCTTCTCTCTCAGTTGTCCCTCTCTCCTCCTTCTCCTCCTCTGCAGGTGCAGATCCTGAACAAGAAGATTGACCTGTCCAAAGTGGCTTCCAAGTGCGGGTCGAAGACCAACATCAAACATAAGCCAGGTGAGAGGCAGAAGTCGGTGGTTACTAAGGGACGTGGGCTACGTGACGGGGTGGACCTCGGCGTCTTCCTGGAGCATGAGCCCAGGGTGGCGTGAATGCAGGCTGGGTGAGAGACGTGGAGGATCAATGCAGGCCGTCAAGCCACCATCCTCCTTCCTCACAATCGGTATAGAGCAGGGGTCCCCAATCTGCGAGCTGCAGACCACTCGACCGGTCCAAGGCTTATTGGCAAGCGGGCCACGTGAGTGGCTGGCTGCTGAGGGCGCTCGGGGCCCCACTCGCACGAGCGTCATGGGTGCCACATGAGGGGCTGGCTGGCAAGCGTCGCGGGGGCTCAAGGCCCAACTCGCTGGAGCTCTGTGGGGGCTCAAGGCCCAACACGCTCGAGCGTCGTGGCGGCTCAAGGTGCAATTCGCATGAGCTCCGCGGGGCTCAAGGCCCAACTCGCACGAGCTTTGCGGTGGCTCAACCCAACTCGCACGAGCTCCGCAGGGGCTCAAGGCCCAACTCGCTCGAACGTCGCGGGGGCTCAAGGCCCAACTCACACGAGCTTTGCGGGGGCTCGGCCCAACTCGCATGAGTGTCGCGAGGGCTCAAGGCCCAACTCGCACGAGCTCCGCGGGGGCTCAAGGCCCAACTCGCACGAGCGTCGCAGGGGTTCAAGGCCCGACTCGCACAAGCTCCGCGGGGGCTCGGCCCAACTCGCACGAGCATCGCGGGGCTCAAGGCCCAACTCGCACGAGCTCCGTGGGGGCTCAAGGCCCGACTCACACGAGCTCCGTGGGGGCTCAAGGCCTGAATCGCACGAGCGTCACAGGGGCTCAAGGTCCGACTCACACGAACGTCACGGGCTCAAGGCCCGACTCACACACACTCACGCAAGCATCGCAAGCACTCCTGGTCCCACTCAGCGAGTGTCACTGTGTTCATAGCCGCACTCGCATGAGCCCCACAGCTGAGGGGCCCCATGGCCTTGCTCACATGAGCAGTGAGTGCTCATGCGTGCCCATGGTGTTCACTTAACAAGTGGTGATTCGCTTAGTGATCGTTGTAGACATTGTCGCAAGATCGGGTCCAGCTTACGACGGGAATTCTGGCAGTTGTAAGTCTATATATAACGATGTGTTGCCCATTTTGTCTGGTGACCTCGTTCAAACGAGATGGGTGGTGGCGATCCTACTTGGTCCCCTCCCTAGAGAAGACCTCAAAGATGGGGTGGGACCTTCACCCGGATGCCCTTCATGTACTGTTCATACCCATCATCCCCGCCCAGCGAAGCGATTTGGATCAGTGATTACACGGCTGTTCACCAAGCGGGTGGTCCCGTTGATGGAGCTTTGGCGAGAGTGACTTTCCATTGTCTTTCAGGCGGAGGCGATGTGAAGATCGAGAACCAGAAGTTGAGCTTCAAGGAGAAGGCCCAAGCTAAGGTGGGCTCTCTGGACAATGTCGGGCATGTGCCAGCCGGAGGCACCGTGAAGGTATGCGTGGGGCCTTCACCCGTTGAGGTTCCTCACGGCTTCCGCGCCGCGAATGCACCGAGAGGTTCTGAGTGGGCCCCCCGTTCAAGAAGGGTGTTGAACCAAATCTCTGGAGCACACCTAGGTGGGAACTACACGGAGGGCTTGCTAAATATGGTGAGGTATCAAGGATAACGAGGTAACGAGCAGGTGGAACCAAGAAACAAGATATTAGGTGCACCTTCTCCCACCATGAGTTGTCCTCCTTCGCTCACATCCGTCCTTCCTCTTGATAGCCGTGATGTGAGGATAGGATAAGGGATAGGATAGGACAGGACAGGACAGGACAGGACAGATGGAATGAAATAGAAATACAAAGAATAGAAACAGGAATAGAATTAAAACAGATGGAATGAAATAGCATCGAACAGAACAGAATATAGACAATATAAGAGGAGAACAGAACAGAACAGATGGAATGAAATAGAATAGAATAAACAATAGAACAGAATAGAATAGAACAGAACAGAACAGATGGAATGAAATAAAATAGAATACAGTACCGTTTGTGTAATAACAGTTTGGTTTTGTTAACGAGAGGTGGGATTAAAATCAATTCAACCAATCCATAAACAGTTATAACAACCTGGGGGGAGTGATGGACGTAGAACTCCTCGAAGTTACGACCGTCACGGCATCCCCTCCATCAGTCACCTGGTCGCAACTGTGGGAACTTGGCAATCCATTTACAAGGGATGCGGCATCTTGCCATCCCGCGGTCACGATTTGCGACCTTCCCGGCTAACGTCCGACAAGCGAGGTCCAATTTGGGAAGCTGCATTCGCTTAATGACCATGTTATTTGCTTAACAACCGTGTGATTCACTTAACGACCGCCTGATTCGCTTAACGATCACGTGATTCTTTTAACAGCCCCAGTAAAAAATGGTTGTAAAACTGGGTCCAGCCCTGTGACGAATCGTTTAATGACCACATTCTTTAGCGAACAAAATTCCACTCCCATTTGTGGCCGTAAGCCGAGGACTATCTTAAGGTTGTTTTCAATCCTTGATAACCACCTCAAAGACCAACCGAGTTCCCCATCAGCAGAGAGAGTTATATCTCGAAAAATCCCTCTCAAGAGCATTCTCGATAGTCACAGAGTTACATCCTGGATAGCTTCAATCATGGTCAGCCTTCATAAAAATGTTGGGGGTTGGTCAGGACAAGTCCCATCCCAGCGTCCTCAACAATCGCCTGTCTGTTGTCCCTCCCCCACTGTTCCCCACCTGCCGCCGTGTTCCCCATATATTCACTTCACAGCCAACTCAGTCCCGGAAATCGCAGAAGAGTACAATAGTTGGGCTAGGGTGCGGGTGAGGAGTTGAGCAGGAGAGATGAGTCCGGGCGAGATTGAAGCGAAAGGGATCGGTCTTGCTGGTCTCTTCTCTCTGGCCAAGACTGAATGATCTCCTGCTCAGAATGAGCCTGGGCGAGATTGAAGCGAAAGGGATCGGTCTTGCCGGTCTTCTCTCTCTGGCCAAGACTGAATGATCTTCTGTTCAGAACAAGCCTGGGGGAGATTGAAGCAAAAGGGATCAGTCTTGCTGGTCTCCTCTCTGGCCAGGACTGAGTAATCTTCTGCTCAGAACGAGCCTAGGCAAGATTGAAGCAAAAAGGATTGGTCTTGCTAGTCTCTCTCTGGCCAAGACTGAATGATCTTCTGTTCAGAACAAGCCTGGGGGAGATTGAAGCAAAAGGGATCAGCCTTGCTGGTCTCCTCTCTGGCCAGGACTGAGTAATCTTCTGCTCAGGACGAGCCTGGGCAAGATTGAAGCGAAAGGGATCGGTCTTGCTGGTCTCCTCTCTGGCCAGGACTGAGTAATCTTCTGCTCAGAACGAGCCTGGGCAAGATTGAAGCGAAAGGGATCAGTCTTGCTAGTCTCTCTCTGGCCAAGACTTCTGCTCAGAACGGTCGTGTTCAACCCTCTCTGTTGGGACTAGGACAACTCACTGCAGCATCTCACCTCAACCATCTCTCCTTGGCCAACTCGCCGCGGGACAGTGTGGTAAGTGTTATCCACCCCTGTTTCCTCAACACGATTTCCGTTTTTTGTCAGTGGAAATCGTGTCAAAGAAACGCGGGCAGATGACATTTCTCACGTGACCTATCCCACGTGGACGAGTTGATCTAGGCGAGATAGCCGCGACCAAATGGCCACGGTGGGTCGGCCGTGGCGAGGTGGCTGCGCCGAAATTGTCCCCTCCCACTCTCGGCGTACACCCTTCACAGAGAGACCGGATCCGTTTTCCAGCTGTCCTCCCTTACATCCCATCCCATTCCCTCTTGTGTAGTGACCCCTCATTTCCTCCCCATCCCACTGTTTTCCTTCTAGACTGAGGGGGACAAGGAGGCAGCCCCAGAGAACGGAGGCCCCCCGTCGGGCAGTAGTGCCCCACAGGAGAATGGCGCAGGGCCGCTTGCACCTGCCCAGGGCGGTGGTGACCAAAGAGAAATTCAGTCCTTCAACACTCACATACAAGAGACAAGTAAGTGCTTAGGGAACTGGCAGCCACTAGAGGAGGCAGGGGGTCTGCGAGAGCCCTCCATCCCTCCCTCCGTTGGGAAATAAACCCTGAATGTTTGCTTGCGGGTGTTGTTGTTCTCTGCTAACGTCGTTAATGCGCTCAATTGCCTTTTATTTTCCAGGCCTTTAACGCTGACATTCTGGTATCGCCTTCCGTCCCCTTGTCTCTCTCCCCCCCCCCTTTTTCCTGACCTTCCCCCCCATGTGTCGCTGCAGATTGAATCGCACAAGCTGACCTTCCGTGAGAACGCCAAGGCTCGCACGGACCACGGGGCGGATTTTGCACTCTGCGCCGGCAGCCCTCCCGCCTCCCCACCACTGAGCATCTCCGTCAGCGAGAGTCTGGGCACCATCACCACCGCCGCCGCTGCCGCCGTGTCCTCCTTGCCCCCGCGGCTGCCCTGGCGGGCTCCCCTTGTGGACGAGACCTCTGCCCCGCTCTCTCGGCCAGGCTTGTGACTCGCTTTCCCGCCCTGTTCCCCATCCCAAACCCTCCACCTCCCTCAGACCCTCGGCTTGCCTCCCTTAATCCTTTGCCACCCATCTTCCTGGGCTCCGCTGAGGATTCAGTCGCTCAGTTGATCCTTTTGAACTCGGATGGGACGATCTTTGGGGCAAGGGGTCTTGCTTACGTCTGGCCTCCCGGACCGAATTTCCATCCTTGCTTCTTTGGATGGCGGGCTCAAAGTGCATAGTATGAATTTTGCTTTGGCCCCGCCAACATTGGATTCTTCTCAGCGGGCTGCGTGGGAAAGGGTTCAAAGGCCGATGGGAGTTGAAGGAGGCAAGCTTTTTCCCCTTCTCTTTCCAGCTTCCTCCCACCCCACGGATCTCCTCTGCACCCTGTTTAGTGCTGGCCTGTTAACTCTCACACATAACGCCATGCTGATTAGCACATCCCCGCAACAATGCCATAACCTTTTAATTTTCTCGTTCTGCCCCTCGCAATCCAGCTGAGCGGTGTGGCTGTGCCGAGTGTGATCCCTGTGGCTTCCCCCACCGGCTCATGCTTCTCTCCCCCCCCCCCCCCGCTCGCCCGCACCAACCTTCCCCTTGCCATAGGAGAATTTAAAAAAACAACAACGCACCATTATCTGCTGTTGCAGCGCTGTTGGCTTTGTTATCCACATATCCTACCATTTTAAACCGTGTTGTTTTGTTTTCTCTTTTTTTTCTCTCTTTTCTTTGGTGTGGTGGTTCTTTTGCGTGTGTGTTTCAAAATATTTGGAGAACGACGGAACCTGGGGACTCAAAGGCCCCCTGGGGGGACAGCGGAGACTAAAGTGGACAGGCGGGCGGGTGGAAAGACGGGCGCCGTACGAGAAAACAGGTGATGTAGATAGAGCTGGATCGTTGCACCAACGTGCTTCCGACAAAAGCTTTGAGGTGGCCATTGAAAGTCAGCCCTCCTGCACAAATCCCGGGTGGGTTTCCCTCTGAGAGACCCCTGCCTCTGCAGGTGTTTTCCAAAGGATCAAACACCAGGGATCTGGGTAGTCGTGCCACAGGATATCCGTTCCAGAGAGTTTTGCGACCACAAAGGCACACCGAGATAGGTTGGAATGTTTGCAAGTAGGTTTGGGGATCTGTATAGTCGTGCTGCGGGGTATCCGTTCTGGAGAGTTTTGCGACCACAAAGGCACACCGAGATGGATTGGAATGTTTGCAAGGAACTCAGGCAGGGAATGTCACAGGCAAGTGTTTGAAGGTCCGGAGATGCTGGGCTGTGCAGGATGGGATCCCTCCCGCTTTGAGTCTCATGGGTGAGATCCCCGTCCGCGTTCCGTCTTCCACACTGCAAACGACACTAAACAGAATTGTAAATAAAACTTGAAAAACGAGAGTCTTGGAGAATTTTGCTTTCGAACCGCGGGGAACAAGGGGGGGGGGGAGGATTATGTCGGGAAGCTTCGGATGGGAACTGTGTAAAAATAATTAAAAAGTAACCCTATTCTGTTTCCTACCACCCTGGGGTCAAGTAGCCCACAGTACGCACCTTCCCACGGAGAATTCTCGCGCTCGTGATTGTTTTATATATATAAATATTATCTATTAAAAGTTGCATGGTTTCTAATAAAATAGCTTTTTAAACTGTTAACGAGGGTTTATCATTCTTATTTTAAGCATCCCAACAGTCTGCGAATTAAGCTCGCAGCTTTCCTGGAGAGAAGAATTGATGGGTAATAGAGTTAAATTGTGTAGATTTTGTCCAGGAAAAATAAGCTACGGGTAGTCCTCGACTTATGACCACAAACGAGCCCGGAATTGACGTTGCTAAGCGAGACGTTTCTTAAGCGCGTTTCGCCCCGCTTTATGACTTGCCACATTTGCCAAGCGAATCGTTGCCGTTGTTAAAATTAGCGACCCGGTCGTTAAAGCGAAACCAGCTTTGGGCATTGACTTGGTTTTTGTCAGAAGGTTGCGAAAGGGGATGGCGTGTCCCCCGGGATGCTGCAACCGTCATAAATGTGAACCCATTGTCTAGCACTGTGGTTCTCAACCTGTGGGTCGGGACCCCATTTGGGGTCGAACGACCATTTCACGGGGGTCGCCAAACAACCAGTCCGCCATTTTCTTTTCCCCTTTTCCTTAGCTGCGCTACTCCCTTTTATTCTATTGACTTTTGAAAGCCAATAGAATACTCTCCTGAATAGAGACTAATTCTATTGGCTTTCAAAAGCCAATAGGAATGGTCCAGGCTGTCTCTGCCCTGCTGAGCCCGCCAAAAGTCCCATTCTGCCAACGGTGCTGCACCAGTTGAGTAGTCCTCGACTTACGACTGGTTGAGTAGTCCTCGACTTAGACCGGTTGGGGGTCGCGGCATTAAAAAGGTTGAGAACCACTGGTCTAGCACCTGAATGTAAATCACGTGACCGTGGGGATGCTGCAACAGTTGTAAGCGTGAAAAACGGTCATCAGTCCGTTTTTTTCTCCCGTGCCGTTGTAACTTCATCGCTAAACAAACTGTTGTAAGTCGAGGACTACTGGTACTTCTTTTCCTGTCTAGGCCCACCCGTTCGCTTTCCCCTTGCTGTCTGTGCTGCCCATCGACCCAAATATAGGACTGTTTTCAGCCGCCTCCCTCCTCCCTTATTTTCCTTCCGAGTCAGGACGGACCCGCCTTCCCACCTGTCTCGTACGTGTCCTTTTATTCTGTGGTTTTTAGAAGAAGGGACAATATCACAATTTGCTCTCTATAAATCAGGTGTCGATTGTGGCGGGCTGGGAAGTCCATCAGAATGGAGCTGGAAGGGACCTTGGAGGTCATCTACTCCAATCCCCTGTTCAAGCATGAAACCCATGCAGAATAACAGTTGGAAGTGACCTTGGAGGTCATCTAGTCCAACCCCCTGCTCAGACAGAACAATTACAGAATAACAGTTGGAAGGGACCGTGGAGGTGGAGGTCATCTACTCCAACCTCCTGTTCAGGCAAGGGAGGTCATCTACTCCAACCTCCTGTTCAGGCAAGGGACCCTGACAGAATAACGAGCTAGAAGGGACCTTGGAGGTTATCTAGTTCAGCCCCTATTCAAACCTTGGAGGTCATCTACTCCAATCCCCTGTTCAAGCATGAAACCCATGCAGAATAACAGTTGGAAGTGACCTTGGAGGTCATCTAGTCCAACCCCCTGCTCAAGACAGAACAATTACAGAATAACAGTTGGAAGGGACCGTGGAGGTCATCTACTCCAACCCCCTGTTCAGGCAAGGGACCCTGACAGAATAACGAGCTAGAAGGGACCCTGGAGGTCATCTAGTCCAGCTCCTATTCAGACAGGAGAACCTTACAGAATAACAGAGCTGGAAGGGGCCTTGGAGGTCTTCTAGTCCAACCCCCTGCTCAAGCAAAAGACCCTTACAGAATCACAGAGCTGGAAGGGACCTTAGAGATCATCAAGTCCAACCCCTTGTTCAGGCAGGAGACCCTGACAGAATTATGAGCTAGAAGGGACCTTCGAGGTCATCTAGTCCAACCCCCTGCTCAAGCAGGAGACCCTTACAGAAAAACAGATTTGGAAGGGACCCTAGTGGTCATCTAGTCCAACCCCCTAAGCTCCCAAAGGAGCTCAGACATTCTTCAGCCAATCGGCGCTAACTTTCAACTTCCATCCAAGGTTCTTTTTTTAAAAAAAAAAAATGCTTATCCTTCACCTGATCCTTCAACGATTTTAAAATACTTTTAAAATAAAATCAACTCTTCGTTAAGATGACAAGAATGGAAAGTAGGATTGTCCCGGCTTTTGACCATCCCTGGCTGGATGCAAACTCTTTGTCCAACCTCTTGGAAATCTGTCGAGTAACAGTAAGTCCTCGCCTTAACGACCGTTGGTTTAGTGACCATTCTGAGTTTCAACGGTACTGAAAAATGGACTCGGTACTGTTCTTCGCAAAATCCCTGGGGTCAAGGGATCAAAATTCAGACACTGGGCAATTGATTCATATTCATGACGGTCGCAGCGTCCCAGGGTCACGTGATCCAAATTCAGACGTTTGGCAACCGACTCGTGTTTATGACGGTCCTAGCGTCCTGGATGTCAGGTGATTAAAATTCAGATTTGAGGACTGTCAGCATAAGACTAGTAGACAATTTGTGAGCTGTTGGGTCCTCAATTGAGAGCTATGGGGAGTCCTCGGCTTAACAAGAGTTCGCTTAGTGACTGCTCGAAGTTACGGCACGGAAAGAAGTGACTTATGACCATTATTTGCACGTATGACTGTTTTGTGTTCCTCACGGTCACATGATCAAAATTCAGATGCTTGGCAAACTGACAAGAGTTTGTTTAGTGACCGAATTTCTAGCACTAAAGAAAAGTTTACTTTTGGCCAGTTCTCACACGACTGTTGCAGCAGTCCCCCTGTACAGGCAGTCCTCGACTTATGACCACAATTGAGGCCAAAAATTCTGTCACTAAGTGAGACGTTTTGAGTTTTTGTCTCATGACCTTTCCACAGCGAATCGCAGACGTTAAAGTTGGACACTCAGTCGTTAAGTGAATCTGACTTCCCTCGTTGACTTTGTTTCTCAGGTCGCAAAAGGGGATCACATGACCCCCATGCGACACCGCAAACGTCATAAAGATGAGTTAGTTGCCAATCGTCTGAATTTTGACCCTGGGAATACTGCAACAGTCGTTAAGTGTGAAAAATGATCCGAATTCACTGTTTTTGCTCCTGTTGTACTAAACGTTCGCTAGTCCTCACACTTATGATCGTTGCAGCAGTCCCACTATATTTCCTTTACTAAGTGAGACAGTTGTGAGGTAAATGTTGCTCCCTTCTATAATCTATAGAAGGGAGCAACATGGTTCAGTCCTCCACTTACGACCACAACTGAGCCCATTTCTGTTACTAAGCAAGACACGTGAGGTAAATTTTGCTCCCTTTTACAACCTCCCTGCCCACCGTCATTCAGTCCTGAACGTACAACCACAACTGAGCCCAACATTTCAGTCACTAAGCAAGATAGTTGTGAGGTAAATTTTGCTCCTTCTTATAATCTATCTGCCCACCATGGTTCAGTCCTCCACTTACGACCACAACTGAGCCCATTTCCATTACTAAGCAAGACACTTGTGAGGTAAATTTTGCTCCCTTTTACAACCTCCCTGCCCACCGTCATTCAGTCCTCAACGTACAACCACAGCTGAGCCCAACATTTCAGTCACTAAGCGAGATAGTTGTGAGGTAAATTTTGCTTCCTTCTATAATCTATCTGCCCGCCATGGTTCAGTCCTCCACTTACGACCACAACTGAGCCCATTTCCATTACTAAGCAAGACACTTGTGAGGTAAATTTTGCTCCCTTTTACAACCTCCCTGCCCACCGTCATTCAGTCCTCAACGTACAACCACAGCTGAGCCCAACATTTCAGTCACTAAGCAAGATAGTTGTGAGGTAAATGTTGCTCCCTTCTATAATCTATCTGCCCACCAAGGTTCAGTCCTCCACTTATGACCACAACTGAGCCCATTTCTGTTACTAAGCGAGACACTTGTGAGGTAAATTTTGCTGCCTTTTACAATCTCCGCCCACCATCATTCAGTCCTCAACTTACGACCACAACGAAGCCCAATATTTCCATTATTAAGCAACATGGTTAAGTGATTTTTTTTCTTTGCCTCATTTTACAACCTTCCCTACCACTGTTCTTAAATGAATCCTTTTGGTAGTAAAATGAATCGGGCTCCTCCATTGACTTTGCTTGGTGGAAGGTCGCAAAAGGGGATCATGTAAGCCCAGGGTACTGCGACCGTCATAAAGACGAGTCAAATGCCAAGCGTCTGCATTTTGATCCCGTGCCCATGGAGATGCTGCAATAGTCCGAAGTGTGAAAACAGTCGTAAATTTGAAAAACGGTCGTAACTGAAAAAACGGTTGTGAAGAACGGTCGTAAGTGTGAAAAATAGTCATAGGTGTGAAAAACAGTCATCTGTGAAAAACCGTCGCAAATGTGGAAAACGGTTGTATGAATAAAGGTCATAAGTGAAAAATGGTCGCAAGTGAAAAAATGGTGTGAAAATGGTTATAAGTTTGAAAACAGTCATAAATGTGGAAAACGGTCGTAAGTGAATAACGCTCATAAATGAAAAAAATGGTCCTAAAAAACGGTTGTAAGTGCAAAAAAATAGTGTGGAAAAAACGGTCATTAAGTGGAAACGGTCATAAATGTGAAAAACGGTCGTAGGTGAAAAACACATTAAAAACGGTCATAAGTGTGAAAAAATGGTAATTGAAAAAACAAAAATGGTTGTAAATGTGAAAAACGGTCGTAAAAATGGTGCAAAAAAGGGTGATTGTAAAAACGGTCATAAATACGAAAAACAGTTGCAAATGTGCCATTCCCGCGTCATGAGCGGCATTTCCCTTCCCTTTGTTCCTTCTGCGCAGGCGCGATTCTCGCTCCCTGGCGGTAGGTGGCGCTGCCGAACAACTTCGCCGCCCGGATCCGCTCTTGGCAACTATACTTTCGCGCCGGATGAAAAGGGACAACCAATCGTATTCATCTTCCCGCCTCTCCCATTGGCTTCGCCCCACCCCTTCGAGCCGTTAACTCTTTCCTCGCCAGAGCGGAGTGAGAAAGGGCTGGACGCCGAT